GGCGGCAGGGTGGACGTCCCTCCGAGCGCGGCGTCGGCGGCGACAGAGGCCACCCCAACGGCGTCGGCGGACGAAGCGGAGGATGGAGGGAAGGTCCGGCTCCTGAACGGCTGTGTGCCGCTGTCTCATCAGGTGGCCGGGCACATGTACGGCAAGGATAAGGGCGGTAAGTGACAGCCGGAGGTGGACGTCCCCCCTGGGGCGGGGGAGAGAGAGAGGAGAGCCCGAGGCAGATTGGGTCTCCCCTGGGGATTTGATTTGAAGGGTGGCTGGCCGCTTCCCAAGCAAGCCTTTCGAACTTGAATCTGTCCGCAGGAATAATCCTCTCACCACCCTCCCTTGTTGTTGTTTTTTATCTCGTTTCCTTTCTCGTTTCCTTTTCTCCCTTGCCTCTGATTCGGGATTGAAAGGGAAGAATGCGTGGTTTGGAATAGTGGCTGTACTGTTGATTTTTTTCCTTTTTTTTTTTTTAGCGTGGGTCAGGTTTTTCCTTCCCTATCATATCTGTGGTCCTGTGTCAATCAGTGAACCCAGAATTACTTTATTTTATCTCCCCAACAACTTGCTTAGCTGGGGCAATCTGTGAGAGTGCTGTATCGAAGTGAGCTTGAATGGCACATTAGGGTTCTGCGAAGTCGGGTTAAGAGAAGTTAAAGACCAATCTGTATGAGGCTGTCTGGCTGTAGGCTAAATGGAGATTTTTTTTTCTCCTGGGTCCCTTCTGCCACACCTACAAGCCACTGCTCCAGCTAACAGCTTCAGTGGCATAGTATTTAAGTAATTGTTGAGACATTTCATTTTTTAAAAAAAAAGGTCTTCAAAAGAAATTTGAAAACGTTTGTACATCAGAAGTTAAATGTAGTAGTGAAATTCTTGTGAAATTTGGGTTTGCTTTTATTGTTTTGTTATAATTTCACATGGTGTTCTGTAAGCTACCCTTGTATACAACTTGGTAGTTGTATGGTATTTTTTTTTCTTGGCATGCATTAATGGAGCAGTACTGTACTAGAGTGGCATAGTGTTGTCCTTCCCAGCAGACTGTTTGAAGTCCTCTCTTATAATAGTTTCCATATTGTGTTTACTGCTGTACATGCTTTTTTGTTGTTCTGTCTTCCTAAAATCATGCAGTCTCCTTTTGTTTGTCTTTAAACCTTCATGTATACATGCAAGTTCCTGCTTTTATTGTTGATATCTGAATTGTAACTTGACCTATAACATTTCTAAACAGGAAGCTTTCAACCTGAAGAAAAATGCTTCTCTCTTTCTTATTTGCATACCCAAGTAAAAATCTGACAACATGTAGGATTGTCAGTGCTCCTGCTAAAGAAATACCAAAGCTGGGTTAATAGGAGACTTCTTGTAAGTTTCTACAGGAAACAAAGAAATTGCCAGAAAAATAAGCACATTGAAGTATCTCCTGTTTTGAATAAACAGAAGGTTTGGTATGCATTAGTAAGTGGTTTCACAACTTATGGAGATAATGTGTTTCTTCTTGTGATCTTAGTCTTTCTTTTGAAAGATGGATGTAAATGGAGACAAGGAAAAGGAAAAACTGTAATGAACTAGTACAAAGAGGAAGTTGAAATGATTGCGCCATTCATTTCTGGAATTAGACATGATGATAAATTCCTAGTAATTTCTCACATACCCAGTCAAGGAACTTTGGAAGAGTTTATTGGAAATTCCAGCGTAAAAAGCAAGTGCTAATTTGCCCAAGTGAGTTTCATACCCAGGCAGGAGGTTGAGGTTTTGCTTGGTCTTTTCCATGTCTGAGTCTAACACTTGAACACTGTGCCACAGTAAACATTTTATATTTTTATGATGCAAGAGGTGTATCTATAAAATACAGAATGCAAAACCAAGCATTCAGATGGAAGTGCATAGAGCAAGAACACTCATTATCTAGTGAATTTATAGCATCTAAAATAACATATATTAGTTGGTGGCTAACACCACAAGTAACTTCTGCCATTAACTACTATTTAGACTTATGGGAGTATTCATATATAAATATGAATACCCTTGCATAGGCAGACATCATGAGGGTCAAACCCCCTGGGGCCGGACCATCCAGTCACCTTCTGCTGTTGCTGTGCCACGATCCTTTCCTATTGCTCCAGAGCTCACTGTCTGTGAGCCACTCTTTGACCTTGCAGTGAAGCTTGTCCTCCTGCCAGGAGTGGCTTGCAGATCACAAGCTTTGGAATGATAGGAAAGGATCACGGAGCTCACAGCAACAGCAGAAGGTGAGTGGCCGGTCCGGCCCCAAGGGGCTGGACCCTTGTTATGTCCACCTGTGTGGGGGTATTCATTTTCATATACTTATGCGTCTCTTGAGCTATAGTGAGTGCTTTCTCCAGATTTTAAAAAGGGATCCAGAGTCATTTATTTATTTCAAATATTTTTGCCCTACCTATTTCCTAAAAAAAGGACCCAGGGCAGCTTACATTATTAAAAAGACAATATTTGAAAGCCAAAAACAGTAAATTATACAAATATTAAAAAAAACAATTAAATATTATCATTAAAATGTAAGATAAAACATTATTAAAACAGATTCAAAAACAAAAATACAATCCATCCCATTTAAAAATCCCTGTTAGACAGCCGATTTCTAAGGGAAAGGTTGCCTGAAGAGTAAGGTCTTTGACTGCTTGCGGAAAGATAGCTAAAATGAGCCCAGCCTGGCCTCCCATGAGAGGGAGTTCCAGAATTGGGAGGAGCGACAGAGAAGGCCCTTTCCCATGTCCCCACCAAAAGCACCTGTGGGACTGAGAGAAGTGCCTCCCCTGGTGATCAAGAATTGTCCTGATTACAATGAAACTCCAGAATTAGTGATGTCATGGTGTTAGTGCATGGTACGTTGCATTAGAGAAAATGAATTTCTAGCATTAGTATATGGGAAGGATCCACAAGTTATTCAGTAGCAAGCACAATGCGTATTGAATGTATATATTGTGTTTTGTTTAAATCCAGTGCAGTTATGGTAATGGAGATTTTAACGGCACTCCCCTCATGTTCAAGCTAGGCCAAACCTAAGGACAACAAAGTGGGATTAATGATGATTGAAGCAAGGAAGCAGGAGTCATAAACACAGTATATATGAAATCCAAGTTCAGTATTTTCTTTTTCTATATACGACAGAATATGGTACTGAATATAGAGGTCAGTTCTTTAAGAATCTTAGCTTTCATAAAAAAAGAGAGTAAATAAACGCAGCATATTTCTTGCCTTAATGACTACAGTGATAGATGTGAAATACTGTGCATGGACATTGTTATCTGAAATCCCAGAACCCAAAATGGTTAAACTGCCTTAGAATTTATATACTGTACCTTGTTTCCCCTCTATAGTTTATTAGAATAAATATATAAGGTAAGAAAATATACAAATCTCTTTAATTTACATAATTTATAGAGATCACAGAACTGAGTTTTTCTTCTTCGAGGTCTGGATTTTTGTTTTTGCAGAATTTAAGTCTTTTTAAAGCACTGTACACATAGTTCTGCCTATGTTAAAGTAACTGAACTTTGTGGCTTTTATCTTATATATCCCTGTATTCTTTCCATTCCCTTACCTTCGAAATCTAGACTGCATGTTCTGATTTTTCTTTGGGAAGTGGCATATATGTTAGGCTTCTGTGACCAAGTTATATAAGAGTTGAGATAACTTAGATTGTTTGGGGCTGCAGGTGCTACGTGCCTTGCTCCCTGTGTGTCAGTCTGCACCATCCCAGACCTGCTCCAGAGGGAGTGACTCATAAACTACTGTACTTTTAAGTACTTTGTACCTAGAAAACTAGGGATCTTATGCCATAAGCAAGAATCAACTTGATTGCAAATAATTAGTTATATCTACTTCCACAGATTCTAAAATGACACCCATTATAAATGTACGATTATAAATATAAACAAATAGAATTAATATATTCGCGAAGGCTTTCACAGCAGGGATCTAATGGTTGGCTGTGTTCTAAAGGTTGGCCGTGTTCTGAAGGTTGTTCTTGGCCGTGTTCTGAAGGTTGTTCTTCCTAACGTTTTGCTAGTCTCTGTGGCCGGCATCTTCAGAGGACAGCAACCTGTGCTCTGTGGCTGGCATCTTCAGAGGACAGCAACCTGTGCTAGCTCTCTATAGCATATTTTCACCCAGTCTTGGAGAATGTAATTAAGCATATTAAGCATAACACCTTAGATGTCTCTTGGAATCTTGCATACAGAGCACAGGTTGCTGTCCTCTGAAGATGCCGGCCACAGAGACTGGCGAAATGTTAGGAAGAACAACCTTCAGAACACGGCCAAAGAGCCCGAAAAACCCAGAACAACCAAATAGAATTAAAATGATCTATATATTTCACTGCTGCGATATTGAGACAATGGGACATATTAAAATGCATTTCAAAACTCACTATAAAAGTCTTTGTGTTTCACTGTTAATTATTAGCCTATAAAGGCCTTCATAGGTACAGAATTATATAGGATCCTGTTGAGAAAGCTATCTTTTCCTCTTTCTGTTGTAAGTCCTCTGTTCCTAGTTAACACAGGAAGACCTGTTTAGTGGAAGGGCTTGCATGAGAGTTGTTCCTTCTTGTTCATTATGGAGAAAACAATTTGTAAAATTAAAAGTATTTAAATTTATCTCACTGTTTGAAGATCAAAATTTCTTTATATTTCTAAGGAAAGATACATGAATATATTTATTTTCTTGTATCTTAGGCATATTACAGCATCCTGATGGCACAGTTCTCAAACAGTTGCAGCCACCACCTCGTGGTCCAAGAGAACTAGAATTCTATAACAAGGTAAATGTTCTCTAAATACATGTTCTAAATAGCTGAAGAAATCACACCTTGTTATTGAGTTGTATACCTGTTATAGGTAATATCTCTCTGTATTGTCGCTTTCCCAATTTGGCACCTAAATTGCTAGCTCTCTATAGCATATTTTCACCCAGTCTTTGAGAATGTAATTAAGCATATTAAGCATAACACCTTAGATGTCTCTTGGAATCTTGCATACAGATGGAAACAACAGGACAAGAGGGAGTAGTGGTAGAAAGAAAATGGAAAAAAGGGAAATCAGTACTTAGAAAATGGTAGTGTTCTATCAGCAAGAATTTAAACATGGTTGTGGCCAATCTGATCTTTCTTGGTGTTGGACTTGCTTGAACACCAGTTAGTGCCTGTATTTATTTTCCCCGTGGTTGGCACCATAGTGCTCTTTCTCCTGCAGTTCCATGTATTCTTTTGTAAGGGAACAGGAAGCAGGTTCATCATACCAACTCCTTCTCTAGCCAACAGATGGAATGGACTGGGCTCTTTGGCTTGATGTTATTGATGGGGAGGGGGCAAACATCTAATAGTCCTAAGGGCCTTGACTGAAGCCAGATCTACAGTGCTTTCTTTCTGGTCCCCTTTCATAGGGTAGCAGCCAGTTTGATAATGATGGAACACTTTCTGTTAATGTGAAATCATGTGATGCTGGAAGCTGGAAGTTTGTAATTAGTAGTTATTACTGGATCTGATGAGTTACACATTTTAGAAATTATTTACAGTTTGCCAATTGAATAAAAACACTTTAAAAGTATGGACAGTTCTGTTTGGAAATGCAATTATGAAATACTTTGTGGTTCAGTAGCAAGGATATGTATTATGTCCCTTTCACTGGAGTTGCCTAGGGTAACACTAGTTTGTACAGGGAGAGAAATATAAATAAGATGTTACTGTGAGCACTCTTGAACAGCGTGTACTGAAACATCAGTTGCAAATGATTCCATTCCTATTAAAGCTAAAAGGAATCTGCAGTTGCCCTGTTTAGGAATGGTTTCATGCAGTGAAACATATTTTCTGGTAAGGCTGATTTTCTGGTAAGGCTATTTTCCAGTGTAAGCCATTTAATTATCTGACAGCTATATTGGTATGGGTTTGGAGTAAATATTTTTTAAAATAATCCAAATTAATCATGAATTAAGAATCATAATTTTGATATTTAGATCCTGAAATCAACCCATTAGCAAGCTTCAATTATTTTATGGACTACATAAAAGACATATCAGCTTTTATTCTGTTGACTAATTTCTCTTGTCTGCTTGATCTGTACTGTTTTCTGTCACCATGGAGCTGAGTGCAGTTTTGTTGTGTATGTATATAATGGATAGCAGTAATCTGTAAATCTACTAACTCAATTATATGGTCTCATTCCAGTTACATTGCACAAGGGAATGAACAACATGACTGTCATTCTGCCTTTGAAAAATATATGATTAACATTTTGCTTTGCAGCTATTACCAACAAAGGGTCAAAATTTAATCTTGTACAGAAACTAGTGCAAACTAATTTGCACAATTGATGGCATTTGATGTCTCATAGGAATTAGGCTGAATGTTGATCTGAAAGCATAAAGATTTAATAACTTGCATTTTTGAATAATGATATAGTGTGCTGTATGGTTTTTCTGCAAGATGCTATTGATAAAAATTGATATTATTGTTCACTGTATTTGAAGTTGTATCTCTAGCATGATGTTAAGAGAAAGCTGAACAGCATCCTTGTGAGATGGGCAGTAGAATTTTTCATATAATTTTAACAAATGCAGTCGATGAAAAAGTGATTAAGGACTTTTAGTTCTTTTATTAATGAGTAGTTTGTTTGAAGACATATTCAAATAACACTTTAAAAAAATCAAAGCTGTATCCAGAGTTGATAGGCTGTATTAAGAGATCTGATATTTACCTGGTTCTTCCTGTCAAATTGCTTTCCATCATTGTTTCACCATTCTGATATGGCAGTCTACCAACAATTCTTTGCTCCTTTGGGCAAAATGCAAACATATGATGTATAAGTAAAAGATTCTCCCAGTTGCTATTTTGCACCTCAGCTGAGGTGATAGAGAGTTGCTGGACTTCTCTCATGCTCCTGTCTCCAACTAGGCCACTGTTACTCATACAAACACTTTGTCCAAAAACATGTCAGAAATTTACAACAATGTGTAATATAATTAATATAAATCTCAGTGGCAAATTGGTACAATATAAGATGTTGGTGTAGGCATTTACTGTTGTGTGGTGAGTTATGCTGTTTGGTGTGCAAGAGCAAATTCCTAGTCTGATCTTTTAAGTTGCAGCGGTTTGTCATAGAAATTTATACTGAATGCATTATGACAGTGACAGTAAGTTTTTGGCCATTGTTATTTCCCTCATCTGCACAGGCCCCTTATAACTTGTGAGCCTCTAGTGCTGTATCAGTCTGTGAATTTCAGTTCTAATTTTATAAGAAAATACTCATAAATATTATGAGATTTCAGTACTATTCAAACTCTCGTATCCTTCATTTTCATATTCCTTGTATACTGTACTCTAAGACACTGTTTACCTTTGGTCTTTGAGTGGATGATATTAAATGTACTGAAGTTTTAAATACTCAGAGTTGCTTGTCAGTGATGGAAATTTTTAAAAAACTATTAATTGCTTCAAAGTAAGAAAAAACAAATAGCAAAAATAGAGATACAATAGGTCTAAACATAAAATTATAATATTGCAAAAGCAAAGAAAAATAGAAAATAAAAAGGAGGAAGCAAAGCAAAACACAAGGGTGTCTAGCACATAGGCATCTATGAAAAGTGTCCAAAATATTAATGCATAGTTGCCATCTGTATACCATCTGTTCATATGTTGATATTGTTGTAAGGTCTTCTATCTGCTGCATTACTGGTGGTGAGCATCTACAGTATTTTTCCAGTGTTGCAATTTCAGATTGTTTGCAGTTGTAAGGGCACAGAGTATCTATCTGTGCTGGCTGGTTAATTTCCAAGAAGCAGGTATATAGTTTAAAAGTACATGAGCATCATCAAAGATCAAAGATTGGTCCAGTAAAAAAAAAATTGAGTAATAACTCCTCTCCAAAATGATCTTATAATTGGGCATGACTATAACATATGATCTGTCTGTGACTAGGAGATGCATCAGGAGAATCACAGCACCAACATTTAAATGATTTGCTCAGATCCTTCCTAAGAAGAAGTTGCGATATCCAGTATATTCTAAACATGTTGGGTGAGCCACAGCTTAAGATATATAGATATCTCAGGTATACTGGCAAGTGCTGTCTTCTATTGATTCTGTAAAATAACATGATCCACTTCCCTGTTGCATTCATCTCTGAGACCTTCTGTATCATGTTTATTATCTGACAGTAAATGATTATTTAAAAAATTGTTTTCTTGGACTGATGGAATAAGCATTTTCAAAAGTATGGGAGACTTTTAATCACTCAATGCTGTTAGACTGTACTTAAATATCAGAAGATGCTGTAACTGTAGATACTGTCATTTGGCTGAAGCCAGCAGGTCACATCTGTTTCTCAAGTAGGCAAATGGCAAAATTTTCTCATCCTGTCCATTTAATTGATCTAAGGTAAAATTTCTCCATCTGTCTGCACCCTCCATGAAAATTCTTCCCAATTTTTAAACTGGGTTACCTCATAAAGTCAATTTAGCATGTGAAAATGGCTTGAATTGCAGTTGTTGTGGCAATATGTCTCATATGTCTCTTAATGCAGATATTGTTAGGGGAATGGAGTCTCAGCATATTTAGACCCCAAAACCATCCACTTGGAGAGAGGCTTCATATGGGAAGTTTCCAGAAGATGCTGAGATGGATAATTTAACTGTGAAACAGACTATCAAAATCTTACTATTTTGATTGTGGAGCAGTCAAGTTAGCTAGATTTAATGCACTTATCTGTGAAATATTTCTGGGAATCTGTATTCCAAGACAGATAATTATATCTGGGTATTACCAGAATTGCCAGTCAGGAAAAAAAAGCACTCTGTGGGATTTTCTCCCCTTGGCAACAACTCAGATTTTGTCCAGTGAACTGAATGACTAGACACATCTTCAAATTTATTAATGACCTTCATTAATTGTGGAAGACTTGGGTTCAGAGATAAACAATAAAATATCATCTACATAAAGAGTAATTTTGAATTCATGAGAATTATGAACAAAGCCATGAAATGTTAGGATTCTATCTAATGGCACAGGAAGTGGTTCCAAACACAAATCAAATATAAGAGGTGAAAGAGAGCAGGCTTGCCTGATACCCCTGGATTGTTTATCACAGATTCAAATGTATTTCTTGTTTTTTCATTTTAGGTGTATGCTCCTGAATGTGAAGACCCTGTATTTCTAGAACTCCGAAAATATTTGCCAAAATATTATGGAACCTGGTCACCACCTACTGCACCCAATGGTACTAACTGCTAAAGTTACAATGTGCTAGGCACTAATGCTATGTCAACTTCTGTGCTAGTCCTGAGAATGTCAGAAAAGTAGTACATGGGAAGTACATGAGAAAGCTTTGTTGTGTAGATTATCACAAAATGGTAGAATTATATGCTTTGTTGATGAGGGTAAATAGGAGCTGTTTGCTGGCAGCTACACTGATTTTGCAATATGATTGAAATGACATTGAGAATAGCTCATGTATGTCATAATACCCATAGTTGGGTGTCTCATGGTAATGAGGGTACCATTATGATACATTTGTATAAATGTAATGGTACCGATTTAAGTCAAACCAAATTATATTCACAAAAAAATATTGCTCATAGCTCCATAAAACCTGTGGGTTAATATATTTGGGACAGATGGAATTAAAATATTAGCTACTGTTTAGGGAAGGTGCATTGAAGTGCTCTGGATGGCCAGTAGTTTTGAAAATACTGTACATCAAGTACATTTGCTTGACATAAAACTCTAGTGCAGTGGTTCCCAAACTTTTTCCACTTGCAGCTTGCTTGACCTGTCCCAGAGCCTCCCTACACAAAAATGTGCGTCTGCATCTCCTCTGCAAGCGGGCATTCGGGGACACAGGCGCAGCTCACCCTGGGCTCTGTGCCGGGGCACAGACAGGACATTAGGCATGATCCTGGCCAGCATTCAGGAAGACCCACTGATCAAGGAAAGAGATGTGATAGCGGCAAAGGATGAGAGGATTCTGCAGTGCCCCAACTGGATTTTGCAGTGCCCCAGGGTGCCATGGCACACAATTTGGGAACCACTGCTCTAGTGTAAGGGTTAACTGAGCTGAGTTCAATCAGCCAACTGCAGGGCAGATTATCACACAACCCATGGTTTGTCTACACCTATGTGGTTGAAACAAAACTAATGGAATCTTTTGGCAGCTTAAAGGCTTGTGTGGTTCTATTTGGCATAAGCTTTTGTGGACTTTAGCCCAGTTCTTCATTTTTGATTTATTTCCTCTTGGTTACTTTCCTAGTTACCCTTTCCTCTTGGTATCTCGGAGGCTTGCATGCTTATTGATGAAGTGTCAATAGGGGTTGCTTTCTGTCAGTTCAATCAGTTTGTCATTAAGATTGAAGTTAATGTATATAAATCTGTAAGTGTTGGCATGTCTTCATGGCACCAACTATGTTTCCATTGGGCTTTTTCCTGCGGGATGAGGGGAGGGATTGAAAACTACCTCAATTGTCACTGCCAGTGCTATAAGAAAGAAAGTTAAAAGCACTGCTCCCTAGCACTGTGAAGGGAGTTGTTCCTTTCATAAAGCACTCAATACTTTGTCAGAAAGCAACATTCTCTCTAATTTTCAGCCCCATTGGGCAGGGCTCTGCCTCTCACGTTCATGACTTTGCCCTGCGAATGTGCGCAACTCCTCCCCCCCCCCACGGGGTTCCATCGCAACTGTAACCATAGTGGTTGAAAACAATTGCTGTGCAGAGCAGGAGAAAAGCTGCACAGAGAAAGATGGAGGCCGGCACACACAGCCACATTTCTTAAAGGGAACCTTGCTAGAAAGTTATCCTGCAGTTTTGATCTTTTTAAAATACTAGGACCAGATTACAGGGGATGCAGCAAACTGCCTCCTTATATTGTCATTCTTACCCATCCATCCCCATCTGAAAAGGAAAACAATTTTGCTGCAAGTATGCAGTCTGTCCCCTTGGGATTTTCTGGGGGTGAGAGAAATATATACTATTCTGAGTGGAGTCAAGGAGAAATTCAGTTTCTCTCCATAAAATCTTGCATCCCTGCTGGTAGTTCTGTGCTAATACCACAACCATCCCATAATCAAAATGTAGCTTTCCTTTGCAGAATCAATCCTGTGTGGCACAGTTTTTTCAATACCTGTAGGTTATATTTTGGGTAGAGTCTATAAATTAAAATGAACAAGACTTTTTAGTTGTTAATTTTAAAATCAAAGATTTCAGTGGGTTTGCTTTGTTTTAACTAAATTTGGATTTAGTTCTGTAATTCACACCTTTAGGGCCTACTCCTGAACCCTTTTCTGTGGCCCATCCAACTATATTACAACAAATTATGGCAGGAATTTTCTGGTGTGTGAGATGGTGCCACTGGTACCCAGAGTTGAGCTATAGCAATGCTACAAGAATTCCTTACTATTACTTCCCATCCCCCACCCCACCCCCATGAAAAATACCAGAGGCTTTCTTTTGGTGTCCTTCATGTGCTGTACAATGTGGCTGTAAGACTTTGGGACATGGGGTTCTGGAGGCAAGATATGGATCTCCCCTAGCATCAATGGTAGGATTCTATATACAGTATAATAGTAGTTGGGTGCATGCAGCTCATTAACAATTATAGTAATTAACTGAATCACAAAGAATATAGTTTCCCCTGTCATTTCTTTTCTTCTGACACTATAGAGTAGGGAGGAGGAATTTTGTCAGATTTGCAACTGAGTTGTGCAGTTTAGCATGTGACAGGTACTGCATATGAAGATTTCTCAGCTTATGGCAATTTGCATTTTTAAAATTCATGCAGTTTGCATAATTATGCAATGAGACTTCACCCTGTGTTTCAACTGCTTCTTGGCTTTATTAAGCATCTTAAAAAATTGCATGGTGAACTTTAACATCATATAATTTTAATTTGCATCATTGAAAGGCTAGCTGCTATGATCATCCACTTTCCTAGGTAGGGAGATACTACTATACAGCAGAATTCAGAAGTAAATTGGTTGTAAGCTGCTGCTTAATCGTTGCAGCTTATTTATTTATTTATTTTATTAGATTTATCCCCTGCCCCTCTAGACAAATAGTCTACTCTGGGCGGCAGATGTTAATTTCTGTTGATGTATGATGAGTGGGGTTCCTTAGTTAGATTATGCTATTGTTTAGTTATATTCTGGTTTATTAACAGACTTGTACCTGAAACTGGAAGATGTGACACACAGGTTTAAAAAGCCATGTATAATGGATGTAAAAATAGGCCAGAAAAGTTATGATCCATATGCTTCAGCCGAGAAGATTAAGCAACAGGTCAGCAAGTATCCACTAATGGAGGAGATTGGGTTCTTGGTGCTTGGCATGAGGGTAAGCTATGGTTCATTTCTGAATTATAAGTCTGTTGATGAGGAATTGAAGCTTATTTTTTTCCCCCTTGGAAAAGTTCTTTGAAGTTCCTATCCTTTTTCTCATACGCCATTTCCTATAATTATGTTGGGGCAATCTGAATTCATTTCCTCCTCAAGGAAAGAAGAGTAGAATATGCAGGCTTGTTTTTTTGATTGCTCTTTTTGACTTCTGTCCTAGAAGGAGTATTCATACAGTTTCTTCCTAATATTTTGGCTAGAAACTTGTTTTCATATTCATATTACAGTCTGTAGAGCTTAGTGGCTAATTAGCCCCAGTTAAGAAGTCATCCTAGTAATTTACTGTTGCACAACAAGTCCTGTGGTCTGGTGCAGTACAGCAAATGTCTTAATTTGTGGCCATTCGCAGCTCGGATTTAATATGATGGCGCTATGTCATCAGGCGTGGTTAATACGATTCTGGTCTTTATCCTTTTTTGCTTTTCCACTATGAAAGACTGTAGCCTAGATAAGCTTTGGAGATTTAATAACAAATTCTTCTTCCTGGTAGCTGTGCTTTCAGCAGTCATTATTCAGTTGGTTCCTATTTGTATGTTCAGTATACAGTATAGAGTTCCTTGTGAAACGCACAGCCCAGTTCTAAAAATATTACGTATTTACTTTGCCTGTGTATAGTTGCATGTAGAATGTATATACTGGAATCTATCTTTTTTTGTTGTTGCCTAATATTTTAGTCCCTCTGGCCCCTTTTAAAAAAATATTGCAATAAATGATTGAACTTAGCACATTCTCTTTTAGCTGCTAATAGATCTTTAAGGCCAAAGAGATCTTTTTAAACTAGAGAATAATGTTAAACCTGGGACATTAAATATTGAGTTTGTGTCTCCTGCCACCATACTTTGGACTCCTCAGTGAAGTCTGAGTTTGCTAAGTCTACGAAAAGTACCCTTTGATCATGTCACTAGTCAACCAGGTGCTATTACAATAAAACCATTTTGTTTCCTTGGAAATTTATTTGATACTGTCTGATTTACCTCAGGCATATTTTGCGTTGAATTTATTTATTTATTTATTTATTTATTTGATTTTTATCCTGCCTATCTGGACCAACGGTGTCTGTCTTCTCTGCACTTGTCTGCCTCAGATATTTTATACTGTAATATTCTTCCCCAGGATCCTGTTAGTAAAGTATTAATTGGCTTATTCTAGTTTTATTGACTGTGGGAACATTTTGTATTTAAACTTATACACTGGATTTCCAGCACAGTAAAAACTAAGCAGTTAGCTTTTAGGCATAATTATGTGATAATTTCCCCAACCAAGTACACAAATAAACAGTTTATTCCTATTTGATCCACATGGAAGTCTTAGTGAGGCTTAGTGAGACTCTGACATAAAATCTGACAATATAAAATTGTTTCATTTATATGATAAAACTGGGTATGTTGGCCTCTGGACACAAACAAACTTAGCAAGTGTGTTATTATCACTTTGGAGAAATTGAGGTGAGAATTCTATTCAGTTACATGATTATAGAAGGGAAATTGTACAGGAGTTCTTCCCTCTTTAAACGGACTTCACTTGTTTAAATGTAGATCTCCAGCAAAATTCTAGGCTACCCTTTATAGCGAGCTCATGTTTCATAATCTTAAGATTCTAGAGGCCACTTGATTCTGGGAGATCATAATAGGCATTCCTGAGCATCCAAAACTTGTGCAGACTAGAGAACAATATTATATATTATTCTTCTGAAAATATTTTATAAGAATGAATCATGTTCACAGAGTTTTGCAAGGCAATTTTAACAGCTGAATGAAGAAAGATCTACTTGGAATTGTTTTGGACTTAGGTGGATGAAGTGTTTGGGATCATGCAAAATACTACATAGGAACTGATTATAAGACAAAGATGTTTCGAAGAAATTAGGAGGAGGAAAACATTACTTTTGTGTATATTTTAAAGGTTTATCACATCCACTCTGACAGCTATGAAACACAGAATCAGCACTATGGAAGAAGCTTGACAAAAGAGACAATAAAAGACGGTAATGTTTGTATCAATGTTGTTCTCTTGCATTACATGAGCAAACCAGTCTTTATTATGAGTATGACCATAGGAAAATTAAGCATGCATACTCCATTGTATATCCACTGTATTTAAGAAAACTGAGGTAGAATGGAATCAGCTGCTAGTATGCAGAGTTGCCAGGTGGAAGAGATAGATAGTACCTGCTCCATGAGGTATTAAGAAGCAAAGAGAGAAGTATGGTTTATTGCAGCGGTCCCCAACCTTTTCCGGACCAGCTGGGGAAGGCAGAATACCCCCCACGCTCGTGCGCATGCACAAGCGCACACACTTTTTTGCACAAGCGTGCACGTCCGTGTGAGTGCTGCGCTTGTCTGGGCGCGCTTGCACTCATGAGCATGCGCAAACAGTGGCGCGGCGCTCACACGGGTGTGCTGGAGCGTGCCCGCAGGCGCAAACGGGCTGTGCAGGGGTGAATGCGTGGGGGGAGCAGGAGGTCTGTCTCAGCAGACAGGTCTGACTCAGGCCACGGACCGGCATTGGGCCACGGATCAGGGGTTGGGACCTCTGGTTTACTGGGCAGGATAGTAGTCAAATAACATTTCATTAGGTATTCATACTCTGGTAAGTAAAAATATTGAACAAAAATATTGTGTTGTGTGTTCAAGATTTTCAGAATTCTTAGAACAAACAATTCTGTAAAGTAGAGTGTTGTCTTGTGTATGCATTATGTGGGAGGAGGCGAGCAGATTTTGCTTCAGGACATATCACAGGCTATATGTGAAACAGAGAACAGTCAGGTCACAGTACAGCAGAAGAAAAGTAGAGATATACTCTCTTCAGTGTAGCATTAGGGAGATGTATTTTCAGTTTTTTAGACATATTCTTAAAGGCATGTCGGGGAAGAGAATCCTGTGCCAGCACACATTGGAGCATGCGGACTGTTTAGCCCTGTACGCAACTTACGGGTATAAACCTCTGTTGTAGAACTCGGAGCATGTGGATTGCTGGAATCAGATATTTGTTGGAGTACATCCAGTCACCACAAATCATCCCATACAGTTTCATTTTAAGTTCCTGAACTTAATAATTTTAAAACAGGAAATCTGAATTGGCTGAATTGTCTGAATTTTCAATGTGAAGAAGTGGAATATTGAAGGACACTGCGTTACTGAAGCTCAGTGACTTCCAAACTTTACATGATGATGGTCTGTAACTCTTAGAACCCTGTCTATTGGTCTTGTTTGCTAGGAATTCTGGGGCTCAAGATTGGGAACAACTGCTGTAAATAGTGATTTGAGTCTGAATTCTGTTGCCAAAATAGCTTAACAATACTCTTTATTTTACTTTTTAAAATAGTGCACGTTATGTTCTGAAATAATTAAATCATTCTTATCTGTGGCCACTAACTTCAGTTGTTTCTTTCTTGCAGGTGTGGCTCAGTTTTTCAATAATGGATACAGTCTGAGAAAAGATGCTGTAGCTGCCAGTATTCAAAAGATTAGAGAAATCTTGCAATGGTTTGAAAGCCAGAATCAACTTAATTTTTATGCAAGTTCCTTACTGTTTGTCTATGATGGCTTGTCTCCAGTGACAGCGACGTGGTTAAATGATGACGCTATAATTGAGAGAAGAATGTCTATGAGGCAAGTGCCAAGTGGTAATAAACTGGAGTATAATAACAATATTCATGTAGTCAGTTCTACAGAAAATGGCAAGGTGGAGACCTCTGTGGGCAAAGGCTTCTCTAAAATGTATGGACTTCACAAAAGGCACCAGAGCCAGGTTTCACTAGCTGTTGAATCTATGGAACAAGACAACACATGGAAGAGCAATGCTCGCTTTTCACAAAAGCATCTGAATGGAAATATTATACCTCAGCTGGAAAAGGTTTTTAGCTGCATGCCCACTACGCTGCCAGAAAGCACAGAGGTTGAAGTCAGAATGATAGATTTTGCGCATGTGTTCCCCAGCAATGCAAGAGATGAGGGCTATATTCATGGTCTGAAGAACTTAATCACCGTCCTTCAAAATATTTTAGATATCTGAATTTTTTTGCAGTGATTTCTATCGGGGGCCAATTATAATGAAAAGCAACAACATTTCTGCACTTGTAATCCTGTTATATGTTGGTTTGTATTGTTCGACATTTTACTTGTCTTTGTACTTTTGGTAGAATGATCATGTATTTTATAATCTTACTCAGGAAAATTATTGTGTAGTTTAGTAAAATGAAAAAGAAACTAATGAGATTAACTGTAGTTATAGGAACTTAAATTCAAGAAGCAGATTGGGGATAACCTTGTATCGGATCAAATGATTGAACTTTCCTCTACCCTTAAATTTTTAGCTTGATTGAAGTCTGTTCATGCAGCCAGAACACTGAGCCATATCTCTAACGGGTTATTAGAAGAATATTGAAGTATTGTCTATGGGTGTTCAGCACATCTTTAAAACTGGAGTTAATCCTGTATCTAAGGGATAAATATTTTAAAATCTGTACTTCAATGGAACCAGCATTTTTTTCCTTAAGAAGAAATAATCATAACTTCCACATTTTAAAAATTGGTTAGGGATGTTAATTTTTTTCATCAGTAAATGTATATAGCATACCTTTATGGTATACTACGTGGGTGCTAGTGAAGTGGTGGTTTGTTTGCAACACATGTTAAATGTTCTTTTGAAAGGCTTGTGTTTTTGAGGCCGTTTTCTCCATGAGGCTTATATTTTGATACTCATGTAAGGTGGTTTTGGATATTGCTGAGAAGCAACAAAGGTAGATGTGCAATAAATCCATAATGTATAAAGCCAGATATTGATGTAAGGCGGTACTTTGGCCTTTTGTCTGTGTAGGGTTGGATCCAGATTTGTGGTGTTGAAAATGGAAAGGTACCTTTGGTCCATAGAAGGAACTGCAATCCAGCAGGAGCTTCCCATGAGGAAAAAAAGGGAGCGAGGCTACAATTTTCACCACTTCCCTGTTTCTCCTGCAGCCCCTCCAGTATGGCTTGAGAAGTGGGCTAAGGAAGAATTTGTTAGAATTGCTGTCCTGTCCTTTTCTTCCAGCAGCAGCAAAACTGAACTGAGTGCAAGTATGGATCCAACCTAGAATGAATATGCAGAAATGGAACTTCTCATGGATGATACACTCCATGCTTACAATGGATTCAAGGGAACACAATTGGGAAAAAAAAAGGAGAGTGTGTCTAGAGCTGTTTGTTCTCCCTGGCTATATCTTCCTTGCCATTTTAACCAACAAATAGCTCATTTTTGAAAACATTTGAACTAGTTTGTTATATTGAATTCCCCATGCCAAAGAATGTCATGTTACATTATAGTAAGTGATAAAATTTACCATGTTTCATGTGGCCAGAATGAGGCTAGTTAATATTCAGCTATGATGATGATGAGTATATGTAAGTCTCAGGTTCATGCATTTCCCCCTTTCCTCTTCTGTATGGATAGAGAGGATCTGTAAAGATTTGGTTCATAGTTTTGAATAACCCCATTATATTGTAACATAGGTAACCTTTTAAAAAACAACAATATGCCATGCTTCAATGAAGGAGCAGCTTAATATCTTTGTTTGGACAAACCACAGTTTCCTTTGTTCCTTATACTTACTTGTCCTTATAGCATTGTATTGGAACCAGCACTTAATCTTTGACAAATATGGGGCTCTTGTAAGAAGACTGTGTTTAGTTTTTTGTCAGTTAATAACAGTCATATGCATGTGGAAAAGTAGTAAAGAAAATGGATAAATAGAATGAGTACTCACTCTGTTTATAATGTGGTGGTTCACATCAAGCTGTGCAGAGTGTACCTGGCCCATAAATGGATGTGAAGTCGAAAGAATGTAGTATCAGGAAGAGCACATTGCTTGAGCTTAAACATGTAAAAGGAATTGTAGAAACCCATGTTCATTACTCATACTGTCACTGAATAGGCAGAGTTGATGGAAGTGCAGGTCATAGCAGACGAGGAAGGGAAATATGGAACAGTACACTTCTTGATTCTTTATTTTATTTTGTGATCTAGCTGAAATGAAACCTCTTAGAAATTCCAGATTTTTTTTAAAAAAATTCTTAACACTGAATTGTATTCTGGAATTGTATGCCAATTGGACAAAATGTCTTTTCACATATCAATGTTCACAAAAATGTTACTTCTACTTGGAAGCAAAATACAGTTAATAGTAAAAGGATGTTATAAATGTATATTTTATATTTCAGATGTGTTGATATAGAAACAAATGATATATTGATACACATTTTAATATAAGTTAAAAAGAGAGCCTTAATAATAAAACCAATGACAGATATTCATAGGTGATAGTAACTTTAAGAGTTATGAAATTTTCAATTTCAGTGCAGTGATTTAAGCCATAATCTGGAATTTATTATGCTATATTATCCTATTGTTTTTCTTTGCTGCATATAGTTCACTCTGTTGTAGCCAATTAGCTCTGTTCTCACTGGCAATTTTATGTAAACAGAATATTTTTATAGAGAGAGATCTAATGGGAACTTTTAGTATAGGCAGACAGTATTTGTCTTGTACTGGTGGAAATATAATTTTTAATTTCTTTTGGGCAATGAACTATGTGCTTCTCGGTGTTAGTATCATACTTGTTCACTGCTCTTCTCCTTTAAATAATGCATGGAGCTCAGAACATGGTGGACCATCTTGCAGAAAAAACTCATACCTTGTTTTCAGTTGTATAACAGCAGTAATTACTGACTGATTGAAAATTAATCTTTCTTTTTTGAAGAGAGAATGATGTAGATTGGAAGCTGGGGAAGGTTAGGTGTAGTTATAAGTAGCACTTGGGTTTTGACTGTACCAACAGACTGAGATAATTTCATACATGGAGATGTCTAAACAGTTTGGAATTAATTTTTTTTTACTTTTTCATAGAACAAAACATCAAATAGAAATTCTAATGTATTGTTTGCTTTACCTCTGCACATCCTCTATTTTGATTTATAGGCTGATTCCATCATTTTTATTCTATAAGGTTTTATTTTTACTTTTTGGAAGGCCCTTTAGACTGACGTCTGAATAGTAAAAACTTGGATACATAGCTGGAAATATGGCCCTTCTATTTTATAGACCTTTCCTCATTCTGCAGCATTTTGTATATTTTACAGCTGTGATGTGCATAGAGATGGCTGAACTGGCCAGTGTCATCCCTATTCACCCAATGAGGGAGGTAATTTGATATTTCATTTATTTTGCACATTCAGATGTACACACCTCCCTATGAAATAAATAAGAAAGCCTGCACATTGTGAGACTTTGTTTATGTATCAGAGTGCCCACCAAACGTTGCTTTGGGTTAGAGCAGAAGTGGGGAATGTGCTGTCCTCTCACTGTTACTGGACTGTAGCCCCCACAATTCATCCCCACTGGCTATACTTTCTAGGGCTGATTGGACCTACTGCCCCACAGTATCCAGAGTACTACACTTCGTCCATTTGTGATGTATTATAAAGGTTTGTTGATATAAACTATGTTCGTATCTCTTTGAACATTTGTGTATAAGCCAGTAACTGAGATAAGCACTAGAAGTTACTCCATAGCTAGAGTCTGAATGAATGATACTGATTTTTTATAAACTGGCTCTTGCCACAATGGCAGGATCTTAAAATACTTCTTCTCATTTGTGAAAATGCTCCTTTTAAATGTATTAAGTGGAAAACTGTACAATCTTACCTGATAGGAATCTAAATTGTATGAATTTTATAGAAAGACATTTTCTTTCTGGATATTTTTGAATATTGGTAATTCATGTAGCATAGATTCAAATGAAATTTAAGAAAATTGTATTATTAAATGTTTAAAAAATTAACTAGTTTTGCAAAACTATGAAATTGTACATAATTGTGTTTCACATGAAGGTTGTATTTTCAAACTGAAATTATTTTTGTTCTGTTGTACAAAAATATTTTTGCTTATCTCATACATAATGTACCATTCCATTTGAGATGCTTAGATTTTAAGAAGGAACTATTCTTAATATATAAATCTAATGAAATGTTTGCCAGATCACATCCTGATCTTATGCATTTGTATCTGGCAGTATGCCTCTCTGGATTTGGGGTTCTTGCTCCCTAAGAAGTATGCATAAGCTTGCAACATCAGTTTGCAATAACAGAAGTGAATTAAGAATTACATAGGAAAATGAGTTGTTTGTGAGAAGATTTTAAAAGAGAATTATATTACATTATCAAATGCTAATGCAGGAAGAGAGAAGGGTACAACCACTATGTCTTGAACCTAATTCATGTTAGTTTTGTGGTATGACTCTTTTAAAGGACTGCAGCACTAGTACAAACTAACTCCTTTCCATATTAGCTGTTTTAAATTATTTTAAATAGTTTATACTATTTGCAATAACCGTCCCTGCTGAGTGCCTTCTGCTTCAGGTTTGGTACCTTTGAATGACCTCATGTAGCATCTCTAATGTGGCATAACAGAATGCTTTAAAGGACAATTAGACTGCATTAGTGTTCCTCTAGTATTAGAGAGCATTGCTCTAGTATTTTAGATTTTGTCCATCCTGAACTAGTTCACATGAAAATTGGTAGGCCATGTGTTTGAATTCACTGTTGTAGAGAAACATGAGCATCTGTGAATGAAATTGTATATTCGGTAACTGAAGACTCTACAGCACAAATGAGGCCCTTAAGGGGTGTTGTCTGCCTCTCCTTTTACCAACCAAGAAACCAAAAATGGTGAGGATGTGTGGCATGTGTACTAATAGCACATGAGACTAGGGCATTTGACAGTATGAGCATTGGGCCCTTGTTCTTCTTTCCCTAAATCCCTTCTCAAGGAGTGTTCCCTCAGAAGTAATTGTTGACCTGGGATAATGTAGCCTTGACTTAGCAAGCTGGAAACATCATCTTATGTATCTGGGTGTCTTGTTGCTGTTCAGTTCATGGCTGGAATTTCTGAAAAAAAGGAACTCCTCCCTCTCTGTGCCTGTGAACCTCATCTTAGGTTTTGTGAAACTATATGTGAATATTTTCAAAGTGAGCCTTTATAGCGTAAGTACTTAGAAAGCAGTTTGGATAATGCAAGAATTCAGATTAGGAGAGAGCTAAAAAGGCAGCAGTAATTTTATAATTCGCTCTGGAATAAATCCTTATTTGCTCAAAGTGATTCTTGTCGATCATATCCATCCAGAAGCCTTACAATCAGTTTTGTTTTGCTTGTTTTCTACCAGTCATTCATGCTGATAAACCATTGAATTGGAACATAAAATAGCGAACTATTCAACTGTGAAATATTATTCCATTACATATCCACGAACTAAATATTGCACATTTGTATTTGTGAATGAGAATTTTGTTAACTGGACTGTAGCCCAGTCCAGTATGCACCTTTAAAATTTTCATACTATGAATATTTCTACTGTTCCTGGTTTAATAATGATTCCGACCAGTTTGTAATACAGTAATAGTACAGTAGTTTCCTTAGCTATAAAGGAGTGAGTCCTGCTTATCTAAAGTTTCTCATTATTATTGCAATTTATTCTCTGTATAAAATCCAGCAACAGGAAAGAAAAAATAACAGTGGTATTGGGAACAATGTACATTTACATACATTATCTGAATCATTGCCTATATATGCTTTAAAAGTATGTAGAAATACTGGCACTGGATATAAAATATATCAACTGGCTGAACTGACTTTGAACTAAAATGTCCAAATAGTATGATTTTGCACACCTGAATATGAATGAAACAGAGTGCACATAAGCACTTTAAAACTCTGGGAAGCATACTGGAAAATATGCGGAAGCATGTGAAATTGCACCTAGAGTTGTGTTAACTAATGGGGAGTGGGGATGGGAGTAATTTTACAAGTTAAATGTATTCTAACTGAATGAATGAATGTCTTGAGTTGGATCACAGTAGTTCTGACTTATGCAGTCTGAATTGTGTTGTGCAGTGTCTTTTCTTGGTTCTTGAGTGTTTGAGTGTAAATTATCCTTCTGAGAGGCTTGTTGGACTGAAGAGAGATGGTGGCTATTTTGTAATTTTAAAATCCCTACTATGCTGTATACCAATTCTTTTTGTAATTTGTGTGATATTTAGGTAATTCTAATAGCTGTATATCTGGCTGATTATTAAATTTTCTCTAAGTTATCAAGATAGTGTCATGTCCTTGATTTTTAAGTAGTACTTTTATTTATCTTTGTAATTCCTGTTCCATGCAAGTTTTTCTCTAAACTGTTTAGTTCACATTACTGACATTACATTATTCATATTTAGTATCAATGTGCATTGTACTATATAACAAGTACGATTTCATCAGTTCCCTGTAAGGTACCCTACCTGTGCTCTGCTGCAACAGCAGTAGAAGCTGAGAGAAGGTAGAAGAGTCATCAGGAATCATCACAAGGTCTGCACGGCTACCTAGTTCTGACAATGTGAAGTGGAAACTCAGTCCCCTCCATAAGAAATTAGTAGGCAGCTTGAGTTCTGCCACCACCTTTTTTAAAGGTCTGCATTCCCAGAGAGCTGGATAAGCTAGAACCCCTTTCCATGAGATGCTAGATCCCCATGTGTAAGGACTTTAGGTGGGAGAGGATTTAAGTGTGTGAACACTGCCATGAGTTAAAGGATAGTGACGTGCCCCCCATGCCCCTTCAGGCTCACCCATGTTCCCACAAGAATGATGACAATACCGCGGGAGTGAGCCAGAAGGGCCCGGGAGACGTTTACTCTACTTTGACATTCTGGGAGGGCCAGTAAAATAAAAGAAAAAGGCATCTCGGAATGACCAGCCATTGCCTGCATTCCCTTGCCATCCGGTTATACATGAGGTATCAGCCTATAACCAAAACTGCTGCTCAAACCCATGCAGTTCAAGGGAGAAGTGTACTGGGGGGAAAAACAGCTATAAGGTCCATGAGCAAAATTCTTAGAGTTGGGCCCTGCTAAAAATAGACAAAAAAAGTGAACTTCCAGGTACTGGTCAGGCTGGGTGTTGCTGAGCTTGGGGTGGGAAGAAAAAGAGGAAGGTCTAAAAGATACCATGGCTTGCCTTTGAAGCAGCAAGATCTGAATTTGCTTAGCATTCTAAGATGGAGGTTGCACACAGTCCGAAATCATTCTGAAACATGGCAATATCATCTCACCTGTATTGCCTCTCCCATATTTATTGACAAAGTACTGCCAGTCATCCACTGAACTCCTTAACCCTCTTAGCACAGGGTTTCTGTGCTGGCCGGAAGCAGAAGCATCCAGCGGTAAGGCAGTCCTACAAGAAAATCTGGAAATGAAATTTAGGTGGCAAAGTCGGTAAGAACAGTTGAAGCTGAATTGTGTTACCTGATGGTTAGAGAAAGTAGAGATTGTTCGGTTTAGTTTGGTCTCTCTCAGGTGGTGGTATATCCTTTTCTGAGCAGCTGTGGTCTTTTTAAAACACAACGAAAATAAAACAAAAACAGACCACCCCACCCCCAACAGTGAGGTAGTGTACAACCAAAATCCAACATGAGTGTTGGGTAGTACATGTATTACACCAAGAAAACATCATTAAAAATAAGGACTTCCACACTTTCCAGGATTGTTCATCAGGCTGGGCATCACAGAGCTTGAGGTGGGGAGAAGGAAAGAAGAGCCGAAAATTAATCCTGCCATTTCTATTTCTTGCCCCCCGAACTCTCAATGCCGAACCGAATGAAACATCCTGCAGGACGTTCTCTTGATGCTTTAGCGGTTCTGTCATGATACTACCAACCTTTTAGATCCAAAATATCACCCAGTTTTTTTATTTCACAGCTAAGTACAATAACCTTGCATTTAATCAACATCAACTTAGAACTGCAGACCTGGAATGGACACTATGGATCAGAGTCCAGCTCCTGTCAAGGAGGTACAGCAGGGAATTGAACTCCCAACCTCTGGCTGTGCAGCCAGATGCCTAAGCCATTGAGCTATCCAACGAGGAGGTTTATTCATAACATGTGGAAGCTTCTGAGTGCACGGAACCATAGGAACCTCCTCTGACAGCTTTCCACGGCTCTGATTTTGGAGTTCAAGACTGTTTTCCCTATCTTATAGACATTGCCTACCGTCCTTTCCAGAGTGTAAGGGGAAATAATGAAAGCTTCCCCTTGCTGTAGCAGTCCCTTTGTGGCAGAAGCTATGGGTGAGAAGGGCAAGAAGGCAGATTTTATGTAAACATGGCGAGAAGTTAAAGGTAAGAACAGTGGAACAAGTCTCGTAGCAGTGGCGGATTCACCTTTACTGGAGGGAAGTTGGATAGCTGTCTTTCAAGGATGCTAGAATTGCAAGGTTTGCATGCCAAGCTGCAGGCTATGCAAGACCACCTCAGAGAGTACCTTTATGCTTTGAAATGTGAGGTCTCAGAAGTAGGAAATGCTAGGTGTTTGTGATGAGAGAGAAATACTTGTCCTTAAGTTGATAATTAGAAAAAAACCCCACAAAGGTTGTCTGATCTGATGCATCTTCAGGTAAATACTTCTGCTTAGGAGAGGGTGGGTAGGTTACTTTGCAAGCATGTTTAAATGATCTTCAGTGACTGGCTATATTCTAGAGGGAACATAGTAACCGAAGAGGCACTAAATAACACCGAGTGCCTGCCTGTCTTGGAAGAGTTGGAGAGCGAACCAACTTTAGCTGTAAAGAGATCATCACCTGTTGATGCTATATGAAGTATTTCGTCTTTGCTGGAGGGAAGGTGGAGTACCACAGGACATGAAGGATGCAAACATCGTCACATTGTATAAGACAAAGGAGACAGGGGCGATTGCAATAACTACCGTGGCATCTCTCAGTGTTGTAGGGAAGCTGCTTGCGCATGTTGTGCTGAAGAGACTCCAGCTGCTTGCAGACAGAGTCTATCCAGAATCACAGTGTGGATTTTGAGGTAATAGATCCACCACTGACATGGTATTCTCCCTCAGACAGTTGCAGGAGAAATGTAGGGAACAATGACAGCCACTCTTTGTGGCCTTCATAGATCTTACAAAGGCCTTTGATTTGGTTAGCAGGGATGGCCTTTTTAAAATCCTTCCCAAGACAGGATGTCCACCTTGACTCCTTAACATCATCAGGTCCTTTCACGAGGAAATGAAGGGCACTGTAGTTTTTGATGGCTCAACATCAGATCCCTTTGACATTCAAAGCGGAGTGAAACAGGGCTGTGTCCTCGCGCCGACTCTGTTCAGGATATTTTTTCCTGTCATGCTGCAGCATGCCTTTGGAACTGGAACAGAAGGTGTCTATCTCCAGACTAGATCAGATGGAAAGCTCTTTAATCTCTCTAGATTGAGAGCAAAGACCAAAGTCCAGCTGAAATGCATGTGGGATGTCCTCTTCACCGATGATGCAGCTGTTGTTGCCCATTCTGTTGAAGGGCTCCAACAACTTACGAATCATTTTAGCAAGGCCTGCCAAGATTTTGGATTAACAATCAAACTGAAGAAAACACAAGTCATGGGCCAGGGCGTGGACTCACCTCCCTTTATTACCATCTCCACGCAAGAATTAGAGGTTGTTCATGATTTCGTGTACCTTGGCTCAGTGATCTCTGACACACTCTCTCTAGATGTTATGCTGGATAAACGCATCAGCAAAGCAGCTACCATGTTCTCTAGACTCACACTGAGAGTATGGCTTAAGAAAAAGCTGATGACATATACCAAGATCCAGGTCTATAGAGCCTGTGTCCTGAGTACACTCCTGCACTGCAGTGAGTCCTGGATCCTTGGTGCATGGCAGGAGAAGAAGTTGAACACATTCCATGTGCTTTGTCTCTGACACATTTTTGGCATCACCTGGCAGGATAAAGTTCCAAACAGTGTAGTCCTGGCTGGAATTTTTAGCATGTATCCATTACTGAAACAGCGACGTCTACGTTGGGTTGGGTATGTCATGAGAATGGCTGTTGGTAGGATTCCAAAAGATCTCCTGTATAGAGAATTAGTGCAGGGAAAACACCCCAGAAGGAGAACACAGCTGTGATACAAGGATGTCTGCAAGAGGGAA